GACATTGTCCGGGCCAGTACTCAGCAACTAATGATCACAGCTTCACCAAATTTGGTATGGTAACTCACTATGACCCATAGATGTGCAACGACAGGTTTTTTGCTGAATTTGACCTTTGACCTTAGCACTGTGACCTTGACCCTGGAAATGTTGTCCGGGTCAGTACTCGGCAACTAATTATCGCAGCTTCACCAAATTTGGTGTGGTAATTAACTATGACCCATAGATGGGCAAAATAAGGTTGTTTGCTGGATTTGACCTTTGACCTTAGCACTGTGACCTTCACCCTGGAAATCTTGTCTGGGTGACTTTGTCCGGGCCATTACTCAGCAATTAATGATCGCAGCTTCACCAAATTTGGTGTGGTAACTCACTATGACCCATAGATCTGCATTTTCAGGTTTTTTGCTGGATTTGACATTTAACCTTAGCACTGTGACCTTGACCCTGGAAATCTTGTCCGGGTCAGCATTCGGCAATTCATTATCACAGCTTCACCAAATTTGGTATGGTAGCTCACTATGACCCATAGATGTGCAACGTCAGGTTTTTTGCTGGATTTCACCTTTGACCTTAGCGCTGTGACCTTGAGGCAGGAAATATTGTCCGGGTCAATACTCTGCAACTAATTATCGCAACTTCACCAAATTTGGAATGATACCTCACTATGACCCATAGATGCGCAATGTCACGTTTTTTGCTGGATTTGACCTTTGACCTTAGCGCTGTGACCTTGAGGCAGGAAATCTTGTCTGGGTCAGTGCTCGGCAACTAATTATCGCAGCTTCACCAAATTTGGTATGGTAATTAATTATGACCCATAGATGTGCAAAGTCAGGTTTTTTGCTGTATTTGACCTTTCACCTTCGCTCTGTGACCTTGACCCTGGAAATCTTGCCCAGGTCAGTACTCAGCAACTAATTCTCGCAGCTTCACCAAATTTGGCAGGTAACTCACTATGACCCATAGATGTGCAACGTCAGGTTTTTTGCTGGATTTGACCTTTGACTTTAGCTCTGTGACCTTGACCCTGGAAATCTTGTCCGAGTCAGTACTCGGTAACTACTTATCGCAGCTTCACCAATTTGGAACGGTAACTCACTGTCACACATATATGTGCAACGTCACATTTTTTCCTGGATTTCACCTTTGACCTTAGCGCTGTGGCCTTGAGGCAGGAAGTCTTGTACAGGTCAGTACTCAGCAACTACTGATCACAGCTTCACCAAATTTGATATGGTAACTCACTGTGACACATGGATGTGCAATGTCACGTTTTTTGCTAGATTTCACCTTTCACCTTAGCGCTGTGATCTTGACCCTGGAAATCTTGTGCGGGTCAGTACTCAGCAACTACTGATCGCAGCTTCATCAAATTTGGTATGTTAACTCACTGTGACACATAGATGTGCAATGTCACATTTTTTGCTGGATTTCACCTTTCGCCTTAGCGCTGTGACCTTGAGGCAGGAAATCTTGTCTGGGCCGAGGGGTATTCAGCAACGCGTTATGTTTTCAGAATGAAACGCCCCGAAAGCGGTAGTCTACCGCCAAAAGCGGTAGAGTTGGCATGTATGCAACTGCTATGTTTCTCAGCTGGTCTTGAATTTCTTTAGATTACAGCATCATGTTCTGCCTTTTGGCTACTTCACATTGCGAGATGAGTTCTATTAAGCTAATGTTTAGATTCAACTTGGCTGGCAGTAATCGTGCCTGGGTCTGTCTAATAAAATTGAGCAGAATTAGCAATTAAATTCATGTAAAGGGAAAATTTGCCAATAATGAAACCATACACCGTTTCAAAGTTTCAGCTTCATATCTATTCGTCACACAGAAACCATTCACATTTTCCCACCGCAGCTGGAGATATTAGTTTATGTATCACCACCATGGAATCCCCATGCATTTGCTGTAAGGAAAAAACTAACACAACGCATTGTGTGAGCTCACTACTCCAGATACGCCCTCAACCTCATTCAGTTCTGTGACCTTCAGCTGTCACAGATGGCATTGCACTGGTGCACCATTCACTTTACTGAAAAGAAAACTTGGCATGATGATAATACTGACTGCTGGTTCTTTGCACAGGTGTACTGGCTACAAAAAGGCCAAAGTTGGGGGCATAATTTTTCACTCTTTGCCTGCAAATGCAGTACAGGCGTTAGAATAGCAATAGGCCATTGCAGACTGAGAAATAAAGTAGATATGATAGCGAAAAAGTATATAAATGTAAGATATTAAGGATTACAAGAGAGATCTTCAATTAGAATTATTGCGTCATCGTTCTAAGCAAATTCTGACCAATGTGGCTATGCCATCCATTTTCTGACATAAGCATTTTTCATCAATCAGCACTCTTTTTTGCTCTCAAAAACAACCAACGGAGTCACATGTCAGTAAGCTAACCAGGTAGCTAGCCGTTTTCTTATGTCAATGCCATGATGTGGTGAATGTTTCATGACTGTCAAAATTATCTACTTGCTGGCTAGCTCCTGCCAACTCATGTTACTACTGTAAACTAATTTTAACGTTATTTGATTGAAATGAAGCTGACCATGCAATAACAGTTTGCTTAGGTTGCCAAAATGGCTGATAAAATTTTATACAAGGTAGCTTGCTTCAGTCTGCCACAACTGCAAGCTAAAAAAAAAACCTTCTCTAGCTTCTCAAAATGTAATGTTATAGTAGGCCTGTTGTCTTGCTAGCTTTGAGTACATATCCTCGCCCATAAACTCTTTTGCACTTTTGGGGTGCCATTTCTGCTGTTGGAAATGTAGGTAGTTTGCAGGCGAAGACACCTGAAATTTCTTGGCGCCATCTCAGGCATGCACCCTGGCTACGCGACACAGAGACAGAAATCCAAGCTGAAATAGCATGTGGTTTTCCCTAACCTCCAACTATGTCCGTCATACGCTAACTGATGCCACTGGAGGGGGAAGTAGACAGAATTGAGGCTGATTTCCAGAGATATACCAAAAATTGGCAAAGCCTGCACATATTTCTCAGTATATCTCTAACTTGGATAGAGATATGGTCAAAAATTGGCAAATTGTCCCTCTAATTGGTTGATTTAGTAATGAAGGGGGAAATTACTTTTTCACTTGGGGTCAGGTAGGGTTGGATAGCTTTTATCCTTTAATAAATGAAATTGCTTAAAACCCGCAGTTTGTGTTTACTCGGGTTATCTTTGTCTTATATTAAATTTAGTTTGATGATCTGAAACATTTAAGTGTGACAAATCTTAAAATAGGATAAATCGAGAAGGGGGCAAATACTTCTTCACAGCACTAAATATATATATATATATATATATTTATATAGATCCAGATAATCCGCTTACACATGCAGTAGGTCTATGTACCACATGGATATGAACAAAGGAAAAAGAAGTGTTCCCAGGGAAAACAAACCTCACCCGGCAGTGCTTATTTTAGTGCTCTTGATACTCAGTTTTACAAGTATGACCTCAACCATTTTCAACTTATAGTCTTTTGAATATCCATGACCTTGAGTTAGACCTTTCAAGGTCACTGAAGGTGAAAGGTCATGGTGGCAAATGAAAGTCCATATGGAACTTCCTGTAAGTTGATAAATATCTATCTACCATGAACCGTTTTCAGGTTATAGCCCTCTGAAAATCCGCAACCTTGATTCTGATCTTTTAAGGTCACTGAAGGTGACAAATATAAGTTCAAATGGGACTTCCTATGTGCTGGTGATAGTAAATATCTGTCAACCATGAACTCTTTTCAAGTTATAGCCCTCTGAAAATCTGTGACCTTGAGTTTGACCTTTCAAGGTCACTCGAGGTGAAAGGTCATGGTATCAAACAAAAGCCCATATAGGAGTTCCTTCATGCTCATAATAGTAAACATCTGTGTATATGCAACCGTTTTTGAGTTATTATGGAAAATATATTATTTCACCAAAGACCTTGACCCCCCTGACATTTAAACCTCAACCGCTATGGAGACTATCAAAGCAACCCCATCATGCAGCATATGGTTGGCAACAGAATTGAAAGGTGCACATTTTTGTTTTGGTTTGAAGTCAGTATGATGAATTTAAAGAAAGTCATCGCAAAAAAAAAGATTTTGATCCTTCTGGTCACCTTGACCTTGACTCGATCACCCCCAAAATCAAGTAATCTATGGACCATTACCCACCTACTCTGAAAGTTTGAAGACAATCAGTGTTACCATATAGACACTACATTAACACACAGACACACGAACAAACACACAAACAAACAAACAAACAAACAAACTGATTACAATACCTCGCTCCACTGACTCAGTTACGGGCAATGTAACTGAGTTAATGGGAAAAAATCCATATCCATAACTGTTCCTTTTTTTAAAGAGTTATTAAAGCCCTCATGAACTGTGATCAACTTTGGTTCCAAAAACGCAGAGGGACGCCTGCTAGCATGGAGGTATAATATCGGCTTGTTATTTATGACATGCATTGGCTCAATGCCAATGTCATTTTTGGGATGTTCGAAAATTTGAAAAGAGGCAAATTATTGACCTATTACACTATTACTGGATATATTGTTTATTTAAATCAATACTGGGACAATAACTCCATCTTCAATGTACAAATACTGATTTTTCATTTTACACTGCATGTATTATTTTTCTTAAGCATACACATATCTGGTGTTTTTACAGACTTGGCAAACAACCGAGGGGAAAAAAAGTTTTGAAAACAGTCGTGCGTCTCACCAATGGTTTTGCATAACTTTTCATGTAAAGCGAGCGTTTAATTCCCCGCGCTGATCTACTGAGATGGTTGGCGCTGAACGGACAGATAAGACAAATCAAAAGCAGCTGTGCGGCTGACAGACTCCAGAGGTGTAAATTACTCTCACTGGCTGCGAGCTGGTCACACGGCCACTGGAAAACAGACCCTTTCGTCAGGCCCTTCCTTGGCGTCAGAGTCTTGTCATTTTCACACAAACTCATGTTTGCCGAGAAACTTTCTCGACAACTTGAGCGGCCCGGTGGTGCAGCGGTTAGCACGGCTGCCTTCCAAGAAAAAGGTTCTAGGTTTGAGTCCTGACCTGCGTGGAAGTTCGCATGTTCACCCGGTGTCTGTGTGGGTCTCCCCTGGATACTCTAGTATCCTCCTCAAAAACATTCAGCCCTGGGCCCACAAATAAAAATGTCTGCCGTTGACAGATTCACGAAGCTATTCCTTAATGTGCGCTGACCTCGTCAAATAAACAGAGCAAAGTAAATTAAATCAAAATACCCTCAATTTCACGAATTCGAGATGACTTATTGCATTCAATTGCTGTTTTTTTTTCTTGAATTTGGTCTAACAAACTTCATTTTTTAACACCAGTAAACGTTTATTTTCTGAGTTGGGACTGCATTTTGTAGCAGCTGAATGCATCTGAAGCCAACCTGAGAGATATCCAAGAGCCATTCAATGGATACTGCACAGTGCAAGACATCAAACTTGCTTGTTTTCAGTAATCCCACACCTCAGCAGTCCACTGACTAGTTGATACTGTCTCCTCTTTTTTCACTGTATGCACGAGAGCAGTTGGTAAATACCCTTAATGCTAATAAACAGCGCAGCTCTTACTCATACTTGCCGAGCGTCTGCATGGTCTTGTCACACCCCAGAATTGAACCGAGGCGCACAGACACTTCTCAGCACAGGGTCAAACTTGAGAGCAGGTGTGTGACCCAGTCAGGGAGAAATGTCTTTCTTGGTGGATTAGTGACAGTTCTCAAAGTGCAGGCATGCTCATCTTTCCCAAAATGAGAAAAACATGTAAAAGCCCGATTCGGTTATGGGAGTTAACGAGCCATTTTCCTTAAAGCATAACCGCAAGAGTCCAATAGGCCATAAAGTATGGGTTTTTAAGCTGCACTGATGAAAAGTAAACTTACAAATGATGCAACTGTGAAGTTTTTCATTTGAATAAAACAACTATGAGTATTAAAACAGTGAAATTGAGGAAAAAACTGCAGTCCATGAAGTCCTCTTTGTGCTTTCCAGTTCATTAGGAGAGATAAACTACCCTTTATTTGTAACCTATCTTTGGTTAATTATCTCTCTTGTTATCAAAGCAATCTCTCCGACAGGCCCTGTGAACTGGGAGACTGCCGGAGGCGAGAGAAGGGCGAATTCTTTCTGAGCAGCGTCTGCCTCTATCTCACCTCTCCATCTCTCTGTCTAACTACAGGCGGTGAGGAATTATATGAGGACTGAGTGTAAATGTCATGGACTGTCTGGCTCCTGCACTCTGAGGACCTGCTGGAAAAAGATGCCTCATTTTCGCGAGGTGGGGGATCGCCTGCTGGAGAGGTTCAACGGAGCCTTCAAGGTGATGGGCGGCAACGACGGCAAGACTCTCATCCCCGTGGGGCACAACATCAAGCCCCCAGACAAGCAGGACCTGATCTACTCGGCCGAGTCGCCCGACTTCTGCCTGCCCAACAGGAAGACGGGCTCGCTGGGCACGCGCGGCCGCGTCTGCAACAGCACGGCCATGGACGTGAGCGGCTGCGACCTGCTGTGCTGCCAGCGCGGGTACAGGGACGAGACTCTGGTCTTCCAGGAGAACTGTCTCTGCAGGTTCCACTGGTGCTGCGTGGTGCAGTGCAAGAAGTGCTCCGTCAGGAAGGAGCTTAGCCTCTGCTTCTAGAGCACACAGGAGCAGGTCAGGGTGGGCTCGGCTTCTAGAACTATCCAGAGCGGGTCAGGGTGGGCTCAGCCTCTAGAATGCTCCAGAATGGGTCAGCGTGGGCTTGGCTTCTAGAACTTACAGGAGCGGGTCAGTGTGGGCTCAGCTTCTGGAACTCACTGGAGTTGATCAGTGTGGGCATGGCTTCGAGAACTTGAAGGGAGACGGGGGTTGGGGCCAAGCTTCAAGAACTTAATGGAAGAATGAGCTCAAGCTTGGCTACTAGAGCTCAATAGTGGGAGATAGCTGCAGCATGGCTTCTAGAACTTGACTAAAGTGGGAAGCTAGGGCTCAGCTTCTAGAACTTAATACCAGAGGGAGTTGGAGCTTGGCTTCTAGTAAGCAATGAAAGAGGGGGCTAGAGCTCAGATTCTATAGCTCAAATATAAGTCCTGCACACATATTTTCCCATTCTTGGACAGACAGATGCGTCTCTTCTTTTCAGAACTATCAGGATAACTTGATTTGTTACAGCCTTTACAATTCTCCCAGTTAGAGATGGGTTGGGTCTTGGTTCCATAAGTTGTTTAAAATTGAGTAATGGGCCCCTGCTTCTAGACCTCCGAAAGCAAAAGCTGGGACAAAGACCATTAATCAGGAAGACCAAGTGCTCTGCATTCCTTCCTGGTTCCGCTATGGGACTTTAATCACTTCTGAAGCTGTTGATTAGTCAAGGAGATACAACTTCCTTGGCAGACTTCTCAGTGTGTAGCATAAGCGTATTGATGTCTCTGTATGACAAAGAATCTTGCGGCGTCGGTCGGTGGGACTCCACAGACCAGAAAGCTTGCTGCTTCTGCAGTTCTGGATCAGAGCAGCTGCTTCTAGAGCAGCTCAATGGGACCTTGTGCCAGGCACTATGAAAGCCTTCCTGTTATGGGGTAAAGTCAATAAGCTCGCCAAGTGCGCTTTGTTCCCACAAAACAGGGGCGTAACTTTGTTGACATGATCACATACATGGTTTATGAGGTAGAACATCCTTTTTTGTTGTTGATCAAGGCATTCCAGAATGTAAGAGTCAAATGGGAAAGAGTACTCTCTGAGGAGAAAGTGTGCCTCCACTGTGGTGTTCTTAAACTAAAACAGGCTCCACGGCTATGATCAAAGATGTGTACCGTTTTATTTATAGTTTCATCGCAAGACTACGCATATAGTAGTGATAACATGACGAATGTCCCTACTATCTTTCTCAAAAGCACTTTGAATAGGGCTGTGTAAACATTGAAAATCTTTGCAGTGATATGTACACACTTGTTTTTTTTTTCCATTTCAGTCAAACATTGTTTTGTGAAAAGTAAGAAATGAAACGTTTTTTATTTGAGTTATCAAAACAATACCATACTTTCAGTTCAATCATTCCATTTATGGGACTTTTATTATGCACTTTTAATGAAAAGTTTCGTTTTCCCCAGTAGCTATATTTTTTTTACAGAAAGGTTGCTTTCCTCTATAGCAACGCAGCCTTATGCTGAATCTATGGGGTCACTGGAGTCTTGCGATTTGTCTATTTAAACAGTTAGTTCACTGAAGCCATAATATCGGGCAAGTTGCCATTATTTAGATTGCTGGATAACACCCACTTTTCCCGATGCATTGTTTGAGTGTTCGAATGCTTCCACATGAGTGAATACTTGAAACATCTTTTTTTTTTATTATTGTTTGTGAAAAAAACAAATGTCACTGTCTTCACTGTGATGACTTGGCTTATGCACCCTGTGTAGAACCTGTGAAATCATTCCCTTTAGAGATGAAAATGTGAAACATATTGAGAGATGCCCATAGCGTTTAACTCCTCTGCGCAAAGTAGACGCCGGCGTCCACAAAATTTTAGAATTTTAATCGCTAAATAATTTTGTGATTGAATTTCAAAATGAGACAGGTGTCTTGCTTCATTGAAATAATTTTTCCAGTCTCTGTGACACAAAGCTGGAGTTATAGTGTCTTGATCAGGGTCATGCACAACAGGCAAGCATTGGCATTATTTGGAATTTGCATACAGGGGTTAGTTTTATCTCGTCGTATTATGTAATATTTTACGTAAGTGGAAGCTACATTTACCAGATATTCACAGGAACGGTTGAAATGGGCAAAGTAGAAATGATGGGAAACTGTGATGTTAACAAAATTTGCTGCCATTCGAGAAAGCTTCAAAACGAAAACACAAGCTGCAGCACTTTTTCAAATTATAAACGGATTACCTGTTCTCGTAACTTCAATTACAAACAACCAAAGTTACCATTTCATCCCCTGAACACTGTATTTAATATAAATAATAGCACAGTTCTGAAATAAGCCATTTTGATCCAGTAGCTAGCAAAACAGTTGTCATGTGAACCATGAGGCATTTGCAACATATCTTACTGCCAGTGCTACTAGCTATTCCATTTCTGCACAATCATAAGTGCAGCAGGTGGGTATGAATACAAACGTGCTGCATCAGTGAAGGCTGTACCAATAATAAACAGGTTTCAATATAATCCTATATCTGATCTCTCTGCTGTGTGTGAGATGGCAGCGGTTTACCTTTCCAAATTTTTCTCTGACCCAATTGATTTTGTGCTTTCTCTATCATTAATCAGAACGATGAAGTGATGGGAAACGGCGTTCGTTATGCTTGGATTTGAACTTTCTGTGTAATTTCAGTGTTTAATTGGAACATTTCACAGAAGGTACAGAGATGAGATGTTTGCCCAGAAAGTTGATGAAAATGTCCAATGGAAAAACAGTGAGGTTGAATATCAATGATGTATTATTTAATTATAATCACAAGCTGTTTGCCCTTACAGGGCCCCATTATAGTGCAGAAATGGACTGAAAACTGACAGTCTGAGTTTTTCAGATCAACACAAAAAATTCCAATAAAAACAACTGCGTTAAATGTTTCTGGATTAAGTTTATAATTGGATACTTTGAACTGTTTTAATTCTAGTCCCTGGGTCATAGTGAAACCAGCTTTCTTTTCTACCACGACATCAGAAAGACATCTGTAACATCTGAATATTTTGAATATATTTTTTATTTGCGTGTTCAATTCTCGTGTTTCAAAGAGCAAAACCCTCCACAGTCCTCCACTGACATGTATCAGCAGACCTTTTTCCTTTGCTATTTATTCCAAAGGAAAGTTTCACTCGACACTGATCGGCCCTCTGTGAATATTGACCAAAGCGGGCGACCAGTCTCCGACTAACTTCATACTATGTAGAGGCTGAACAAAATTTTCCACTATTTTTCCACGTGATGTATTATTATTATTATTATTATTATTATTATTATTATTATTTTATTATTATTATTATTTTGTAACCATTTTGCACTAAGCTTATCATTTCAGTACTGCGGCAAAATAATAAAGCTTTGTTATGCAGTT